GGATAATCATTCAGCTCCACCACCATCCTCCCTTGGATGATTTGTGCCTCAGAACTTTTCTTTGTAGTTACCTGTGGAAATGAAGATATGTGTTGAATCATGAGTTTCATTCTTTTTTAACTCAGGATTTAAAGCCCTAGTCACTAGAGCTAAGAGTCTAACACTCTTCCAATAGAACAAATGACTATTGGCAAGTTTCGTTCTTTTAGCAAAAAAAGGAAAGATGTATTTCAACTTCTTTGTTAATAAAGTACCAGATGAGTGTTCTCTGGAACTTGATGAACTCGAGGTCCATGCATTAGGCTTCCGATTCCTGCAAGCAAAGCATGCAGAAGAATAAGAATAAGAAAGGTAAGAGATAGATGTTAGGTTATGATTTACAGAATAATATTTACTTGTAACTGGGACAGCATTCAAGCATATAATGGGAGATAACCCCAATAGAACAACAAGCAGGCGAAAGAAAGTGCTTTCCATTGCTGACTTGCTATAGCAGTCTTCCTTTTCGACAACTTTGGCATATACTTATAAAGAATCTATTCGATAAATAGATTTGCATCAGACTTTTCTAGACGTTTATGATGATAATGGAGGGTAACAAACATATTCCAAAGTCAAAAAGTTGACAAGAATTGAAAAATGCGTACTGTGGCTAAGTGGAGGGAGATATCATGAAAATTATATTCAAGCCACAAGGTGAGTAAAGATGGAGCACATTGTGCAAGTGGAAGGTGACCAAAGAATGATGGTGTTGCAGCACCTGATCAGGTCTGCATTTATTTAAGCCTAAGGTATACAGTGGGAATTATCTTTAGCATTTAAGGGTATTCAATGAATTGAAATGGCAGTCCTGCACAGGCATGAAAGGTTAATATGATGAAAGATGCAGGAAATCCCTAACAGCTAGAACAGTTCAAAATGTTTTGGCTTAATCTCCAGAGAAACCTGGATTAGAAAAAGGAAGCAGAAAAGACTAGAGATGCTAATTAAGATAGACATGTGGCATATGGAGCTTTAGGTTATTACAGGCGGAGGAACTTCTATTAGATGAGATCCAAGCTCATATAATGGTCTACTTTATATATCATTATTAACATGATTTACACCATATTTAAAACAAGGACTTTGATTACCATAAAAGGATGATCACAACAACAAACTTATACACTAACTAAATGGACTTAATGATCCATGATATTCGTATATTTTGAGCAGCTAAAGTAATCAAGTTTAAAAGACTATACATCAAGATGAATGAAAACAAGCTATACTAAAGAATTCCAAATATTCCAGTTTTGACATAAACTTACATTCACAGTAGTATCTACTTGAGTTAAACCATACAGCCAGAATCAGACAGCCTATTGAGTACTATCAAATATGCCGAATAGTCTATAATTCAGTTTTGACAGCACATGTTCTGCAAAATCTCTAAATATCTTAGTAGTTTGAGAAATATTCAAGAATGCTAGGAACCTGCGATGCGATTGACCAAAATTTGTTCCTGTTTTTCTTGGTCAATCAGTAACGATAACTTTTCATCTAAAAATTACCCGCGGAGCATGTTGACGTCCTGTTCATGAATTTTTCTTGATGTTTCTTGGAAAAAACCATAGCTATAGCTCTATTTCCAACTTTCAATATTTGATAGTGCTTGCAAACAACTTTCTAAAGCCATCGGTGAAGAGGTTGACTTGTGAACAAACAAGAGCAAAAGCTTTGATCTTGAAAAAACACAAATGTTTAAATAGAAGTTTAAAAAGTTTAAAATACATAAAAGAATGACACCTTTAGCCTTTATAAAAAGCCACTTTACAACTTTCTCTTCTTTATGATCATATCTTTGAAGAACAGATAGTCAACTCATGGAAATTAGTGGCAGATTACGTGGTTGTTGGGGCAAAAAATGTTGAAAATTGAATTGCCTCATCTTTACATTTGATTTTTGGAAAGAAGAAAAAAGTAGGATTATTTTGTATTTAGTCATATTAAGCTGCTAACGTTTATACATGTTTTTTTTTTGTCAAAAATTGATTTGCTCATGTCATCATTCTTTTGGCAAAGGGAAGGTTTGGATCAGCTATATACTAACTAAGACTTAAGATGCCGATTTCTCTAGTAGTCAAGCCTTATGGTCCTTATTCATAATGAATTGCAGCATAAAAGATATTTAAAAAGTCTATATAGCCATAAATAGAATTAATTGAGTTGATAAAAATTAAATATTTTAATAATAAAATTTATGTTCGATTCTCACTATCAATAGTTTTTTTTTTTTTTTTGATGAAAAATGTGTAAATACAATGTAAATACTATTAAGATCTGTGATATATCTTGATGGACTTACTTAATCTAAATCTTTTTATTAAAAAAAAAAAACTACCAAGTCCTTTGTCTTAGCATAGCCTCCTTAGTAGCATGTATTAATTATTCCTTTTTACCTACGGTATATAGCTAATCTCTTGGTGCTTGGTTTGTTGTGTTTTTTGGGGAAAATAAATTCTGAGAAGAAAAAAAAAACCCCTTGTGCATATTTATTAAAAAATTTTAAAAACTTTAAAATGCTATTAAGCTTGTGAGTAGGGTAGGCATTGAGTCGGGTTCGGGTAAGTTTTGTTTCTCTCAAATCAGATTTTATTTTATATGTTATTAAATTTGAATTTGATCTTATTCGAAATTTTTTTTGTTTTTTTATATCCGAATTCGATTCGATACTATATAAATCGTACTTAATTCGATTCGATCCGAAATTAATAAAATATTATTTTTTAAATATAAAATATTATTTTTTAAATATAAATATTTAAAAATATCATTATATAAATATATATAAATAAAAAATTAAATAATTAATTAAAAAATAATGTTTTATATAATATTAGATCGGATCATGTTTGTATAAAATTTTAATCTGATCCGATCTTATTATTTTTTAATCTTATTCGCGTCGACTCGACTTGAAATTTGAATTTTAAAAAAAAAAATCGACGTCATAATATCGGATCGAATCAAAATTCATCGAAAATAAATTGAATTGTCGACTTGTGAACTATGAACAAGTACATTCACTCAAAAAACGTACGAAAAAAATCTGAATGTTGTACGGATAAAAGCTGGACATTACCTAAAGAAATCTTATTTATTGTTCTGATTGATTAAGTGGAATGTTACAGCTGAAATCCTATGCCATACATGCAAATCATCTTACCGGCCAGAAAAAGTGACATGGTTAAGTGAGACCTAGTTCTTCCGCCGGAACCAGCAGCTTTTTGAGTTTCGATCCAAGCACAACTTGGGCTTTGATTAATGGATAATACACATTTGATGTGGGACTTAACATAACATATGCACCATATGATAATTTTTTCACCAATATCTAAAGCGAATTCTGCCATCTGGTGTTTAATTAATTAGAACCGTGGTATCCTGAAACAACATGAAATAATTTTTATAATAACCACTTATCATAGATTTGGATCTCAATTCAAAAATATTAAGATTTTATTTGAATGACCAATAAAATTGATTTTAGTAAGATTAAAATAATAAAAAATATTATTATAATTGTAATTAAAAAAATTATTATGAAACATTTTTTGTACCATATCATTTTCCTTTTCTTCCTTTCACTTTTATGATAAATATTTTTTATAAAATTTATCATAATTCAAATATAATAAAATAAATTATAAATATTAAATTTAAATTTATTATAAATAACTTATTAAACATAAATTTATAAATAAATCGAATTAAATTCTAAATTATTTCTTTTAAATAGGGGTGATATCTACCTAAAATTCCAAGTTAAGGTGTTGATCTTTTTCTTTTTAAGTGGAAGTGGAAAGTAAGTGGCGAGATTTGACTTCAGAATCTCATACTTTCTTCCTCTTGATCAAGAATACATGCCACGAGCAGCCATCATATAATATGTATCTCTTCATGCATTTATTCTTGATTTATTTATTTTTATTTGATAAATAAAAAACTTAAACTTGATTTTTTAATAAGGATACATGCATACTTATCCTTAATTTAAATATTTAGATGCCGGAAACCTTAATTCTCACATATTAAATTCCTCAATCCAAACTTCCCAAAAAAGTGATGATAAAATATATTCTTAATTATTATCTTAGCCAAACTATTTCAACCATCCCAACTCCATTAATATGCCCAAATCTAAAGCTTATCATAATCTTAATTTTAAAATATATTAAAAATTTAAATTTTAATCAAACTGTTTCACGTAAACACTCCTAAAAAATTATATTAAACAAATTTAAAATTTAAATTGTAATACATACTCTATTTCTCATTTTTTAAATTATGATTTTTTTATTAAAATATTTTAAAAGACACGGTCATCAGTGTAACAAACCGCCCAAGCCGCCGTCCCTAATTAATCTAATATAACTTTAATCAACAAAGTTACTTTCTGAATTAAATTAGAAATGTTAATCAAATTTTCAAAACCCTAACTAAAGTATCTAACAATATTAATCAGTTGACTCTTTTTTACACCGAAAGATACAAAACTGCGTTAGGTACCTTTTTATCTCTTACGTGTACCAATTTATAAAATTTATAACAAAAAAAATGAAAAAAAATTCGAAAGAAAAGAAGAATTCCTCCACTAAGAGAAACGTGTCTTGATCTTCACAACGGTTTTACACGTGTCGCAAACCCGTTGCTTCAACTTAGTCCAAGGCAAGACTTTTTATGTAGCCAATAGGTGATGTGGGGGCTCACTTTGAAAGTTGTATGTTGCTGATGTGGCAATGGACACGCTTAATTAATCAAAACTTAAATTGCGATTTGTGATGCTGAGTTGGAATGATTACAACGCGTAGGAAGAAATTAGTCCAATAGTAGCAACAAATCACACAATGACACTTTTTTTCCTTCTTCCAACCAATCACTTGCTTCCACTTCAAAAGCAGCCAAAACAGCCCTAGGTGCACAAACTTTGCGTCCTACCCTAGAACGGAATCAAAAGAAAAAGCCAAAGGAAACGAAAATCTCAAGGCCACAAGAACTTGTGGCTGAGAATCAAACCAAGATGCTGACGTGGCATCCACATCTCATTTAAAGGGATCAAAAACATTAACCATTCAATGCTTAGCTTCCACTGCCAACAAAGAAAGAAAACACCTCTCGCTCTCTGATTTTCTTAAACCTACGAATTGTCTCGCGCGTTTTTTCAATTTCCGTTTGGTTTTGTTTGGCTGTTGAGAAAATGCAAGAAAGTAAAGACCCAGCGATCAAGTTGTTTGGTAAGAAGATTCATTTACCTGGAGAGATTTCAACTATGTCTCTGGATGACTTTGACAAGGCAAAGAGCGGGAACAGTGTAGTCGAAGAAGAAGAGGAAGAACAGGAGCAAAAATTGAAAACAGAGCTGGTAGGTGAATTCAATAAGATTTTAAGGTTTTTGGAGATTTTAAGGATTATCATTTCTTGAAATGGTGAAAATATTACTGGGTCAATTTACTTTTTTTTTTTAACTTTTTTTTCTTGAACTTGGCATTTTTGCGTCGTACTTGTTTTGCTAGAACTAGCTTTTTTTCTGTTTCTTTCTTTCTTTTTAACCTTTTGGAGTTTTCTTTAAAAAAAAAAAAAAACTATTTGGAGTTTTTGAAATTCTTGTTGTTGTTGAGTACTGGGTAGTTGAACTGAGATTCTGGGACTTTTTTTTTCCTCCTTCAAGATAAATAGATATGAAAAGTTCAGATTTTCTAGTTAAGATTTGGTTTTTGCTGTTTGGAAGTTGAAAGAGAAAAAAGAAGAAATCTTAATGTCAAATTTGTTGGCTTTTCAAAATTTTACTGTTTTAGAAGAAATATGTCCACTTGTTATTTAGGGCAATGTTTGACACCATTAAAATTTCAGGATTGTCTCAATTACTGTTCTTTTTGATGGCCAATCAGAGCAAAATTTTCACACACAAGTTTTTCTTTGTTCATAACATCATCAAAAGTCATAACTAATCTTAATTGACTAATTGACTTTTCATATGCTTCATTTTTACAGGCTTCAATGAAATTCTTTGTTCTTTTCCTTAGCCAACGAAAGATAGAAAAATGATGAGTTAGAACCAAAATCTTTTGTCTAAAAATGTGTATTTTTTATGTTAAAAATAACTTTAAAATTAAATCATTGTAAAGCATAACCATCAAGTTTTTTTTTTTTTTTTTCTGGGTTCTTACTGAGATAGGATCATATGTGTAATTTTTGGTTTAGTAGGATTGTTCAAATTTCTTATTAGGAAGCCATATTAAAATTTCAGGATTCTTTAGCAGAAAAGACCACTGAGACAGGACATGAAGATGACATTCTCCCTTCGAATAGAGAGGAGTCGACAAATCCTGAAACCTTGCCGGAGCCTAATGTAAACCCCAAAACTCCGTCTATTGATGAAGAAACTGGAAAATCAAAGACAGGAAAGACTGGTAAAGAACAAAGTGATGCTACCAATTCACAAGAGAAAACACTTAAAAAACCAGATAAAATACTTCCCTGCCCCCGCTGCAATAGCATGGATACTAAGTTCTGCTACTACAATAATTACAACATCAATCAACCTCGTCATTTCTGCAAAGCCTGTCAAAGATACTGGACTGAAGGTGGTACCATGAGGAATGTGCCGGTGGGAGCTGGGCGGCGCAAGAATAAGAACTCTGCCTCTCATTATCGTCACATCTCCATCTCTGAGGCTCTTCAAGCAGCTCGAATTGATGCTCCTAATGGAGCAAATCACCCAGCATTAAAAAGCAATGGCAGAGTCCTTAGCTTTGGCCTAGATGCACCCATTTGTGATTCCATGGCTTCTGTCTTAAATCTTGGGGAGAAAAAGGTTTTGAATGGTACCCGAAATGGATTTCATGGTCTTGAAGAACAAAAAATTTCAGTTCCATGCAGAGGGGAAAACGGTGATGATTGCTCAAGTGGATCTTCTACCTCGGTTTCAAACTCAATGGAGGAAGGAGGTAGAAGTTGCATTCAAGAAACACTGATCGGAAATATTAATGGCTTCCCTTCCCCAATTCCTTGTTTACCCGGTGTTCCTTGGCCTTATCCATGGAATTCTGCAGTGCCTCCACCGGCTTTTTGTCCATCCGGATTTCCTATGTCATTCTATCCTGCTGCAGCTTACTGGAACTGTGGTATTCCAGGCACGTGGAACGTTCCTTGGTTGTCTCCTCAGTCTTGTACTTCTTTGAACCAGAAGGCTGGTCCAAATTCCACAACACTAGGGAAACATTCAAGGGAAGGGGACATGGTTAAACTAGATGATTCTGAAAAACAAAAGCCATCTAAACGGAAGAATGGATGTGTTTTGGTTCCCAAAACTTTGAGGATTGATGATCCAAGTGAAGCGGCAAAGAGTTCCATTTGGGCGACACTTGGGATCAAGAATGAATCACTTAGTAGGGGAGGGCTTTTCAAGGCCTTCCATCCAAAGAGTGATGAAAAGAATCATATAGCTGAAGCATCACCAGTATTGATAGCAAACCCTGCAGCCTTGTCTAGATCCCTCAACTTCCATGAGAGCTCTTGAACTGGTGGCGTGCTGGGTGTTTGATATAGCCCAGAAGTTGCTAAAGACAAGAGTTAGACAGCTAACTGAGATGAAGACAGAGGAGGGTTTAATCTTTTTTTCTTCTCAGTAGGATGAGAAGAACTCAGGGAAACAAATTCTCTTCTTGTAACAGTATAAACAGGAAACAGGTGCCTTTTGTTTTTACTTAGGTTGCTCAGTTTGTATTCATGTACATATCTTTTTAAATGTAAAATACTGTGACAGATTTGGAGAAAAACATTTAGATGTACTGAACTAAATTTTCATACTGAAACTGAAGAATGGAAATCTTTTTCCTCATTATCTATGCTGCTTTCTATGGTTTGAGTCTATTGGTATTCCTATTCTCTATTGGAACTGCTGAAAAGGGCATCTAGTGATATAATAGACAGTAAAGAGGGAAACAAGGAAATTTGTTGTAATGGAAGGATTCAAAATGCAGAGAATTTTGTCTTATGGTGCCAAAAGCTGAGGAATCATGCAATAAATAGTGCTGAAGGGGACCTTGGTGGGGGCTATTATGGATATTGTGCCAAGCAAAAATGGAATTTTTTTTAGGCCCTCCCTTCCCTTGTTCCAGATAAGCTTGAATTATTTCAAAACAGGCCAAGTAACTTTCCTTTTCACTCACCAATGGACCCAAAAACAACTTGCACAAAAGGCAGAATGCTTAGATAAATTTCCCTGATATTTTTTTCCCACATTCGCTTTTATTATCTTCCATTTCCTTTTCTTTTCAAAACCTCCTTTATACTTTGTGCATCGTCAATGATAATAAAACCAACTTGAAATCTTGAATTATATCATTCTTGAATCTTAAAGCTTTGCAGAATGCACTATACTCCATTTTAAATCTAGCATTAAGCTGATTCCCCATGAGATATATAGGTAAACTTTTAAGATCAGAAAAGTCCTAAAATATTATTAGCAGAAAAGGGTATTCCAATTAGACTGATTGAAGATTAGTAGATGATGATGTACAACTGTTGAATAGACTGGTTGGTTATAAACTTATCAATTTGAAACTTTACCTGCTAATACGATACCTAATCGAAATAAAAATAATACAAAAAAGGATATGATAATGACAATTTAAAATTTTAATAAAAATTATTTATAAATTTGACAAAAAAAAAATTGTATTTGTATTTGGTATATTTACACGAATTATGATACAATAACCTTTTTACTTTACACATATTGGACATGAAATAAAGAAACACGGAAATTGCCAAATCTAATTAGTTGTTCTAAGCAGTGACAAAAACACGGAACGCCTTTTTCAACTGATAAGAGTGATATGGATATACAAGAATTATGCCCACCTTTGAAATGGATTTATCTAATTTTCTCTAGGCAGCACTTAAATCAAAATCTGGTCCATCAGTAGGAAAAAAAAAGTCTAGATATTTTGTTGCAACCAGCAAAATACAAGCCACATCTTGTTTAGTAGATAAGTTGTTGTGGGATCCAAATCAACACTATGCCGTGAATCCTTTGGCATTCTCTGCTGCTTTTGCTTTCTTTCCTTCTTGCTCTTTTCTTTTTGTAGGAAAGCAATTGCCCATTTCTTTTCATCCATATATGCCTGGTTTAAGTTTCTGTTGAATATAAAAATTTAATAACAATTTATTCAAGGTGTGCTACTCTGTTGATCCTCAATTTCTAGCCACTTGGTTGAATATATATTGTCCTGACTCGTTTCCAGAATTCTATTTTCATTAAATTAAAGTTAAAAACAGTAGTCTGATTGCTACCCTCCATTATCTATGCTGTGAAACACAACAACAATGTTTTTTCATGCTTGAAATGTCTGAAATCTCACTCCTAACAATAGTTATGTCATGAAATGAAAGGAACAGGAAGTCGTGTTGGTTTTGGATATAGAGTTTACGTGGCAAGGTAAAGCTGAAAAGAGTCTAAATTCAAGGCTACTTTCATTCCTTAGGCACACAACAAACAGGTTTGTGAACCTAAACCAACATGCTGAAAGCCCTCAACTAGCAGAAAACCTATCAGATTTAAGCCATCAACACCGTGTCCTTTATTTTCAGGCAGCCTTGGTAAGATTACATCTCATGACATCAACAACCATGTCTAATTTCTTAAATTGAAATCTTGGCAAAAGACTCACCACTAATGGAACAGGTCTAAAGTGGAACCTTTGTAACAAGCTGGGGATTCGTAAAAACCAGCCAAATCACGTGGTTCAGCCCTCTGACTCCACACATTTCAAACTTACTTTCCTTGGAAGGTCTTCATGCTCGTGTTCTCCCAGTGGTTGAAAATGGATGCAATCAACATGGCATTAAGTTGAATAAGTTTTGTTTAGTACATAATTAGATTAATGAGTGTAATCTGACTTTAACCGGTAAATTTCATTTTTGTATGCTAAAACACTGACAAATTTAGATATTACACGAAAATATTTAAAAATAAATAAATGCAAGGTGGTTTAAAATTTTAACAAAAATTTTATATGATTTGATTAAAATTAAAAAATATAATTCGTATTTTCGTATCAACATCAATTGTAATAAGAATTTTACATAAAATAAATGAGATATAAATAAACGAATTATCAAATCTAATTAAATTAATATTTTATCTCCCGTAAGCGCACTTTGAGATGAACATATAAGAGAAATTACTTAATATTGACTTTAATCTTAAAAGTAAAACTTGAATAATTGGGACTCAGATTCAACCTCCCACTATCTCTTAATCTAGTGCTTTTTAATGTTGTTTAAACTTGAAAGTGGAGAAACACAAGCAATGCGATGATGTGAAAAGCACATTTGCTTTTCACCAAAGGCATTGTCTCATCTTTAGTCCCATTTTCGAAGCAGAAACTACTAATCTCAGCCGTCTAACTCGAAGGCAAAATTTGTGTAATGAGAAAAATCCAGCCTCCAAAAGCAGATAAAAAAAAAAGGACCCCCTGATTTGGAGGAGTTGAACCAGGAAAGAGGCTAGAAAACTCCACCTCATTGGTAAATTAAAAGCAATAGCACATTTAGGGGTGCAAGAAAGTAAAAAAGGCAATACTTTTCCAATAATAATTCCCAATTGAAAATTAGGCTATTTTTTTCAACCAACAAAATGCACAATCATTTTTTCCATAACTATGGGTTTTGTGGGACAAGTTTACGGCATTCAATGGAGGTTCCATTAAGCATGACCAAAGGTGAAAATCAGTTTCGTCACTTGATGTTTCTATTTTGTAACAATGGCATGAATATGAAGTGCCTCAAAATGAAAGGGACACTGTTGTTTGTTCACGGTGATAGATTTTATTAGATTAGATAATTTGAGTATTCGTATAATATAAAATATTGATAATTTATATATTCGTATCATATATAAAAATTATGTGTTATAATTCGTTTGAACATGAAAATATAAAATACATATTTTTTATTTTATTAAATTTATTTATAATTTTTATTAAAAATTTAAATCGTGTTATTTTTATATATTTATTCGTATCGTTTTTGTATCATGTTACCATATTATATTTAAGATTGTTAAATCTAAATTTTATGCAAAAATAATAGAAAAAATATAAAAATAAAATAATTTAAAATTTTGATAAAAATTATATATAAATTTAATAAAAAATATAATGTATCAATATAAATTATAATAAAATAATTTTTATACTTTATATAAAATAAATATAATATAAATACACAAAATTTCAAATTTATAGACAAAATGTTGCTAAAAAAGAAAGTGTGGATGTGAAGCTAGCCATTTGCCAACAAAAAGAAAGAAAAAGAAGAAAAAAACATCTTAGCTTTGTTTTCCAAATGAAAGTGGGAAGTGGGGACTCAGGACTGAGTAGACAGTCCAGCATAAAACTTTTGAATACGGGATTTATTAATTTTACCATTTAAGTCTAGATTTTATTTACGTTTAAGGTCATCAACTAATTATGTTGCTTGTTCCAGGTTCCAAGTTTGGATTGTGTTTTTCTTTTCTTTATGGATGGCAAATTTGACCCCAATCCTACTTGAAAAAGTTCTAATTTGAATATAAATCTTTCAAAAACACATATATGGAAATAAATTTGGTAGCCTTTTACCAATGTCGAAAGTATAATCCAACATCTAAAAATTTAATTCAATGAAATTTAATTTAATTGATTTAAATTCGAGTTCTTGCAATATTTTCTTCTATCTCAAGTCACAACCGTTTTTGTTAAAAAAAAAAAAAAGGCACATGGCCTAACAGCTTGAGGTTAGCCTGAATTTCTTTAATGGCTCATAAGGTCATCAGTTAGCTACCTATATCATTCCGTATGTGCAAATCTAGAATTTGAAGTTTTTAAATTGAATGAAACTGCCTAGCATAAGCAGGAACATTTTCTCTGTGGTAGCTGAGGCAGACATTTCACATGCTGTTATCCTTAACACCCATCAACTACCATGGCTTCTGCAACCTAAACCCTCAAGATTTTTCTTATCTTTGCTTAGACGTGAGAATCCTCTACTCCATGTTTGCAGTTTTCCTTCTAAAATTTTATACTTTTTCTACTCATATACCAATTGATTCTCAACCCCCCCCCCCCACCTCAAAAAAAAAAAAAGAATTTCTTGATTAAGATTAGGTGAGGGAGCTAGGTCTCCACATGATTAGTGTTGAATTTACAAATTGTTCATTAAAAAAATTATTGACAATTTGAAAATTAAACTTAAATTTTACAAAAAAAAAAAAATCTGATTCTTATAAACTCAATCTACAATACATATCTTAATTTGCCATGCCTTCCTTCTGCCTCATAGGGCATGGCATTTTGACATCTACGTACTCAGCAAATACATTGTGTTTAACTCCTTTTCCAATTTGAATTTTTTCAGAGACTTCTTTGATAAGTTTAAGTTTTTTAGCTTTATAATAAAGTCAATAAGAAATAATAATTAGATTCACACGGTTAAATATCAATCATTGATTAAATTTTATAGTAGAGAAGGAAAAACCTATTTATCAGATAATGAAATTGTAAAGCAAAATTTATAAAATCTTATACAAAATTTAAATAATTTTCATTTTAAGTAGAAGTTTTTTAATTTCTACTTTATTACATGCTTATGAAATTACTTAAAAATAAAAAATAATAATTAAAAATATTCTTTTTTAAATTTTTTTAATGAAATTAGTATCTTCTAAAATAGCTAAAAAGTATTATAAAATTAAAAAATAATTCTAAAGAAATTAAAAATATTAACAAAAATTCTTTCAAAGAAAAAAATTAATCTAAAAGAATTTATATTTAAAATAAAAAAATTATTAACATAATAGATGAGAGAAATAATAAAATTTATATAAATTTATGTAAAATGGGATAGAAGTGTTATAATATGCTAAAAAATGACTTATAAAAAATTTTAAGCATAATTAAATATAAAAAAAAGCATTAGAAGAATTATTTAACATAAATAATTAAGTTAACAACATAAATTTAAATTAATAATTTTTCTTATAAATATATAAGAAAAATAGTTAAAAATACTTTCAAGGATAAAAAATAATATAAAAGAAATGATATTTTAGAATAAAAAATTAATAAAAAATTTATCAATATAAGTAGGTGAAAGGAATCGTAAAAATTGTATCATTTATTGTAAAATATATTAGAAGTGTTGTAATACTTAAAAAAAGTTATGATAATTCTAAATA